TGCACAGAGTTCCGCTGTGTTTATGTGCAGCAGCCCCGCCAACTATACGTCACCATGACAACCATGGGAACTGTAGCCCATGGTAGCTCGCACTTGCCTGATGTGAGTCTTTTAGCTATTTATGGGGGGGGAATGGGGGAACTCAGCCATGTAGGGGAGGGTCCTGTGTTTCTCTCAAGCTGTGGTTTTGGCACTGAGCCGGTGAGAACAGCTGTATACCGCCCCCCGCCCTCCAGCCCCCGTCTCCCATCCCCTGTTTGCGATCAGACAGGACAACCTCCAGAACTTACTGTGGTGCCCCATTGATGCCCCCCCCCTTGTAACTTATTCATTAGGAGATAACCTATTCATTATCAGTGATGACCAGGACCACAGAGCGCTGATGGGAAGCAATAGGATAAGACCATGTCGGGCCGTGCCATGGAAGGGGGAGGGGCAGAGGGGGCTGGATGCCGTGCAGCGGAGCAGATGTAAGCGCAGCACACTTCGGGACGATGTTAATCCCGGCCGGCGGTTTATGTAACAGCGGGTCACGTGTCCGCAGACATGGCGTGACATCACGCCCTGCTCCTGCTTTTGCTCTCGTTCAATCATTCGCAAGTCTGCCCACGAGAAGGACACAGCAGGAACAACCAGACGCACCATACCGTTCCCCCACCCCCCCCCTGCCACCCAAGCTCACGCTCTTCGCTTTCTGTTTTCCGTTTCGTTTTTTTTCCTCTCGTCTCTGCTGACGTTGCGGTGATGGGCTGGCCGGTCTAGGGGTCCATGGAGATTTAGCGGGAGAGCTGCTTGGCATTGTTATCGAAGGTGGAGTGCTTATTAACGCATCAATGAGAGAAACAGTGATCCGAGTGCAGGGCCCCGATGAGATGGCTGTGAAGCTATTGTTCTGGGAACTGGAACAGCATTTGAAGAGGTAAAATCTGCAGGCGTAGCATTACGCTTGAGCAGCATGTTAGCCTAGGGTCTGTCCCTATCCTTTATGAGCTAGCTTCTTAGCGTGCTTTGCGCTGATGCTTTTTATGTATGTGTGAATGCCCTTGGGCTGGACCAGTGGAGGAAAAAGACACTGAGACATTTCATTTATGGTGTTCAGGTCCCTTTTTTAATCAAATTCCCAGTGGTATCATGGTTAAAATGATTTTGGTTGGCATATAGATGTGATGGCAGGAGCTGTTGAAAATTTCAGTAGAATTAGGCTTGTAGAATTGTAACTTTAAAGTGAGTTTAAAGTGAGTTATGTGTTATGTTGTACATGAAATAATGGCAAAAATGATTGATCCATAACTGTAAATTAAGTTAATATAGCATTTCTTCACATATCCTGTAACAAGTTTAATTAAACCGTTAGATTAAATCCACATTAGTTCAAATTGATTTCTTAATTTAGAATCCAGTAGCTATATAACTAGGTCCACCTTATCCTAATTGTCCATTACATGTAATTTATTTATTTATTTTGTTGGGAAGCTTGTCTATTTGTAGCTGTTGCATATGGGAGAAACATAGTGATTTTTTTTTAACATTTCGGTTCATGTTTACTCATTATAACTGAGCCTCTTGGGATCCTAACCTGTTTATGCTTCATGTACCTGGGGCAATGAGGCACAAGCCTTAAGTAGATCCCAGATACAGGAGATTTATTTGGACTCTGTTACTGCCATCTAAGAATCCGAATGAGCTGACTCCACTCAGTGAGCATCGTGAGCTTTCTGGCTTGTTTTTAAAAAGCTGGTAAACTGGAGCAGTTTGTCATCTGTGTTTGCTGTGCAACAACACCTGATTGGAAGATCTATATTTTACCCACTTGTCAGTCTCATAAGAGCCAGTTGCATCACTTTTAAAAGATCTATATTTGTTCAGAGAGGGACCAGGTTCTGGTGTATTGATTCTGAAGTTGCATGAGGATGTCTAGTCTAACTGATTTAACCCCACCCCCTACACACAAGTTTTAATGGCATAAGGATTTGGAAAATGTTATGACCCTGTCGATTGTTTCTGCTTTGTTTAGCATTAAGTCTTATACCTGCTAGGCGGTCTTCCATCATTAAGGAGTGGAAAAAGCATTAGCGCTTATCCTTTAAGCCCAGCAGGTTGCCTGTTGGGGTGAATGAGCCTGCTCCACCTGACCCATCCCCAGCCAATAGCGACACGCGGATTACTCCTGGGAATTCTTGGGCGTAAACGTAGAAGCTAATAATACAGACTACTTTGTCAAAATAAAGACAATCTGACTCAAGACTGCAGTGTGGCAACGATCGTTCTTATTGGATTTGTTTTAGCCACATTAACTGAAAGGTCATGTAAGCCGTTTGCCATGGTGTGAGTTGGATTGGGCTTTTTGTGGGCTGATCCTCCTTATTAAATATGCATTCCACATCACTTCCTGCTTCTCGTATTGCAGTTGCCGGATTTGCACAAAAACTCCCAGTTTCATTATGCTCTTTGTGTAATACAATTATACTGACCCATTAACATGAGTGTACTGTGTATTTTCAGGTTAGCGTGTTGTGTACCAGACAATCGAAAAAACATTTGCATTGAAGGAAGCTGTTTGCTCTGTGCAGAGAGTGCCTGTGCAGTGAAGCATTCGATTTCATTCTTTTCCTAGTACATTCATTCTTATTTAGAAAGGGCTTCGACACTTCAGTACCCACGAGACTGTCTCATTGCAGAAGGGTGTTCTTTTTCATATATATTTCATAGTCGTGGAGGATTACGCTTTCTGTTCCTTATTTGATAAACTAATTAACCCATGAGAAAATAAGTATCTCTTCTGTGGTGGTGGCCCTGCTTGATGTTGGTGTTTGATACTCGTTCTTTCTTTTACAACAAAGCATGTTATTTCAGCCTTGTCACTTGTTACCTGACGCAGTTTGTGATTTGTAGTAGTGATGGTCTTTGCTATAACTGTGATGACAGTTCTGAGATTGACCTCTCAGCAGTGAGAAGTGAGGTGTATATTTAAAGATTACCGTACAGTTACACACTAACTCTGGACTATGGAACGCTGGTTCAAGTCTAAGAGATGGGGGGGGGGGGGGGGGTTGGAACAGTGCAGAGCAGTTTAACTCCAGCCCGACTCTTTGTAAGTCATTCCCATCTTTAGGATTTCAATAATGCAACAGTAATATGAGAATTCTTCAGTTCTCTGGAATGAGGAACAGTAGGCCTAGATGTTTTGGGTGTGGTTTTGTACAGACAGGCTGCACTTGCGTCACACATTCATGCAGGATTTTACTTTGATAAGATTCTCAGAAGGTGGGTTGCAATTGATTGTCTTTATTCCAATAAATTCTGTTAGCTAGCTCAGCAGCAGGATTTGGTCTGGAGCAATTGTTAGACTACAGACAGTATGACAGAAATGCATCTGATGCCCAGAGTTATGATTTTTTTGTGGGAAAATAATTAAAGGGCTTTTCAAAGTAATGTGATGTTAACTATAGAATTTATAAAATTTCAAATTATTGTGGATTAAGTATAATCTAAAATAGTGCAGTTGGTTTCGATAGAAATGAATTCCATGCCATTTAAACTGCAGTGTAGCAGGGCTGAGGAAGGTGAAACTGCGGGTTTATGTCCCTTGGGGTAATGCACTTAATTTTAAAGGGAGCCAGAGGTCTGTTTGTTACTGTTCTCTGGTGGTTTCATTTCCGAGAAGCGCTTTTCCCCTCCACAATAAAGGTCGAAACGGTTTTCTCCTTTTCGTCGGCAGGTGGCAGCATCTTACGTGAAGTGTACAGCAACCGTCAATGCACCTGCATGAATATCATGGATGTCTTTCTGACGTGGGGTTGACGAACTATATAACTATAGTTAGTATTTCTAGTAAATTATTCTTTTGTTCTATGGCTTTGTATATAAAATTGTGACATTAGAATCTGATGCAGGATTGTCTAAAGGACAAATTCCCAAAAGTGGTTACCGCGTCGTGCAGATTAATAGGTCATTCCTCCTTACTCCAGCCGGTTTTTCCCGGTATGCACTTTGAATGTATTATGCTAAGTAGGTCGGCTGAGCTCCAGGTGGGGGCGTTCCAGAATAAATTAATATAATTACCTACTCTCTCCGCCAATGAGATGCCGCAGAGTGTTGCGTGTTTTTTTTTCCTTGGATATATTATGCAAATATGGCAGAGGCTGCAGATTTTCAGCACGGTGGAGATGAGCTGACCTTGGATATTCTTTGTGCTGCGTCGGTGGTTGTGTGGGTTCCCCTTGGATGCTTGTTTTTCCTCTGTCTGGAGACCGACTTCCCCCCTCAAAGCCTCTCCAGATCCGACGAAAAGAGAATGTGATTTTGATTAGAGTTCAGAAGACGTTTTGTTTGCTAGCCCGTTATATGGACGTAATAGCATGAATACTCCATGTTATCCAGTGGCGATGGATCTTGGTGTTTGCCAGCTGAGAAATTTTTCAATATCATTCCTGTCATCGTTGCTGGGCACAGAGAGTTCGCCCCTCAGTCTTGATAATAGGTAACGTCAAATTTACATTTAAATCTGCAAAGTGTGAATAGCCGCGAATCTTGCGTGCGATGATGAAGAATATTGTAATGTCACCTTTGTGGAGTTAGGCGTGATGTAGCAGTCCGTCGAAACGTACCTTTCGCTTGCGATTTGTAAAGAGGAAAATGTACCGTTTTGACGGGATGCTTGGAGGTAACGATGCAAAATAACAACCAGGATTTTAAGTAGCTTTGAAATTGCAGTGAAAGTTGGGGGAAACATCGGTTTGCCTTTTGGAAATGTATTCCATATCTAATTTTATAAATGGATGCTAAAGTTGTCTGACCTGTGATATGAAGCGTTCAGGCGGCAGTTGTCTGGTTAACATTACCGGGTCCGCCTTCAGTGCATTGCATTGAAACCACCGCATTGACTGTACGTCTCGTTTAATGCTGTTATCGTTTTTAATCTTGTCCCACTTCGCGGCATTTCCTTATTTCTGTTTGATATTTCTATGCTGTCCATTAATGCATTGGTGTTTTATTTTTAGCTCCTCCGGCGCTAGTGTGGTGGCCATCGACAACAAAATAGAGCAAGCGATGGTAAGTGTTTTTAGTAAATATGTATTTAATGATGTATTTTGCTAATCACTGCATTTACATGAAGATGTTTTCTTTTATCTTCATACGCCCCCCCCCTACCTAAGTAACAACATTTATTTGATTGTACGGACATTTTCATTAACACAGAAAATGATTAACGATCTCTCTTTATTGTATTTTGGGCTTGAGGGTGGGTTTATATAGGCAGGTATCCGCTTCTCTCTTATATCTTAATTTGGCTGTTTATTCGAGCGTGTTTTTAAGAGGCGGACCGTCGGAGTGACACTTTCGGCTAGTTTATAGCTACACTCATATTCTAGATGACCAAAGCTATTTAGCCAATGATGGCTATGTATGTTTTTGATTATTTACAGGATAGCAATTCGACGTAAATTAATTTCGGCTACGTTTTTTTTTTTAAACTGATTTTAAGTTTGTGTTATACTTTCAGAGAGAAATGTGCTCGTTTAGACCTACGGTTTCTGTTTCCTTGGCAGTCCTTTTGTTGTTGGATCAGTGCCTGAAGAAACTCACGCGATTCTGCCTCTTGCCGACTGTTGCTAGGCAAACTCCGAATCTTTGACATGCGGTTATAAATAACTCGCCTTCTGATTGGCTGCCCTCTCTGGAGGCCGGCCATTTTGTTCTTCTGGTGACGCGTTGTATTGGCGTAATGAGGAGGGGTCCGTCTCTGCGGAGAATTGCCCTGTTTTCTATCCGTCTTTACGCAATGCCCTGCACCGTTATTAATTATTCGTAATATTTTTTTATGTTTTGTTTTTTTCTTAGTTATCTGTTTTCAAGTAAAGATGTGGAAAATCCAGTAAAATATAAAAAATGCAACCTCATACCTATCCAGTAAATTAAATCTGTAATAATAATGTTTGAATACAATAGTTATACATATGCATTTATATAATATTTTGTATTAATATCTGAAATAAAATCCTTGAAGACCCATGCTAAACTGAGCTTGCCGTCTCTCTTTCCAGGACCTAGTGAAGAGTCACTTGATGTATGCCGTTCGGGAGGAAGTGGAGGTTTTAAAGGAGCAGATAAAAGAACTGATCGAAAGGAACTCGCAGCTGGAGCAGGAGAACAACCTGCTGAAGAACCTGGCCAGTCCCGAGCAGCTCGCACAGTTCCAGGCGCAGGTGCAGAGCAGCTCGTCCCCGCCCTCTGCGCAGCAACCGGGGGCAGCCACACAGCAGGCCGCGCCGTCGGCTCAGCCAGCCTCACAGAGCTCCGGAGGGTCGGCGTAGCACAGCAGCCCCCCCCCCCCCTCCAGGGAGACGGGCACGGAGACTGTAAATGCACTGGCCCAGAATGTCAGAACGAACGAACATGCTGCAATCATGGGAGGACCCATTTCCGATATTTGCACATATTTAACGTCACAAGTGTTAATATCTCGTGAGACGCTTTACACACTTTAGACAATCGTCTTCAATAAAGGGATTGCTGGCAGGTGATGGACATTACCAAACTCACTGGACTGCTGAGCTCATCATGTGTAATTTTACGTGGAATCAGCTTACAGAATCATTGTGCCTGCATCTTAGGATTTCAGTTGATGTCCATTTCAGTGGTGGCTCTGGAATCGTACGAGTGTTGCCATGCTTCACTTAATTTTCTAGTGTAAATATATACGTCTTTTCCAGGCTGTGAGCGAAATGAGAGCAAGCACCTTCTTGCAGACAAATGTGAAGCATTTTCGATGACTATCGACAAAAGATTAATCCTCCTATTTGATATTAGGAAGACAGGATATTTGTGGGATCAATGTTTGCATTTATTGTAATCTTTATGTGTAGACCAAGTGGATCAACCTGCGCAAAGAAATTAATTTTCTGTATCTGACTTAAATTTCAAATTCACACCTTTCTTAGTACGATGCTGCTTCTTACCTAAGCCATGAAATCAGGTTCTTGAATCCGAGGCTAAAGGATTTGGGTGAATTTTTGTGCAGGTTGTTAGGTTTATGTATATTTATGTATTTAGTGTAAGTGCTCTGTAAAATAGTAATAATCAGAATGAAAGACACGTAAATATTTAGGTTGTACAAAATGAAGTTACAATGTAAATGGGCTTACCTGAGCAAGTTTGGTTGGTCTCTAATGCTGTAAATCAGGTATCTAGCTATTTCCAGCAATTTAGGACATTTGACAGCGAACTGTAATTTCTTGGTTGCTTTCAAATACTACTGTAAACCATTGTTCATTTGAGAAATTACAAACATTTGCTTTTACTTTTGACAGTGAAGCACTCCACATTTTTCACAATTAATCCACTCTTAGCATAAATCAGATCTGACATGGGTTTTGCATATATGTGAAAGCTGTATGCCTATGTTTTGTGCATGTTCCTCGAGGCAGAAAAAGTAACCATAATTCAATTGCACTTGACAGTTGCACTCAACTTCAAAATAAAAGAAAAAAACCAAAACTAGTTTTCACGTGCTTCTGTATTTGTAAAGTTTGAACTTCCTAGAAGGCGTTTGAAAACACTTCTTGATAATCTTGCAGTATCGACTATATCCTGACTATAAGTGGACCAAAAAAAAGGTCCATTTTAAGTCAGTATATTTACAAGACTGTGGCATTTGCAATCTCACATGTCCCTTAGTGCTTTATTCCTACCTCCTTTGTACTTAAATTTGGAAGAATGTAGGAATTGCCTTGACTGGTAGACATGTATCATTATGTAGCTCGACCGGGATGCCATAATTGCAGCCAGGATAATGTGTCAGTGATGATCCTCAAAGCACCAGCATAATTTGGCATAATCTCAATGAATCTGGAGCTGTACTAAGGGAATCTAACATCGTGATTTTGCAAGGAATTCCAAGTGACGAGCTGCTACTCTGGATGTGACTATGCAGCTGCTAGCAAGAATTTATGGTCTAATGACTGTTGAGGCATAGGAAAGGGTGGACGGTGTAGGTGTACCCCAACTGAACGGATGCCAATATGCCCTGTGGATTAAAAGGCTATCTCTGAAGATTCCACCCCAAGAGTGCTAACAGGGATGAAGTACGCTAATAACTGAAGATGGTGTGATGTCCTGCCGGATTCACTCCTCCTCCTGCTTCAGTGAGTGGCTGTGCCGGGATTTTAACTTTGGCCTCAGGGAGCTGGTAGCATCCAGATGTCAGGTAACAAAAGTCCATTTACTGAGGACAATAAAATTCGTCCAGCACTCTTCTAAGAAACCTGTCATATGTTCTTTTATATGAAACCACAAGCTAGGTGTGGCGGCCATTTCATACAGAAATATGGATAAAGGATGATGGTGTATCGTGGAAGCAGTTATGCGTCACTCCTGTTAAACTTTAGCTCGCAGTCAAGGTTAATACCTGTGCGTCACAGTTTGTTGTGTTTTTCCTAATATAGTATATGTTGGTCTTTGGCTATGCTGGCTTCTGTTGCATGTATCGACAGTGGATGGTTTTTAAAGGCCAAGTAACAATGTGCATGGCCTTAGTGGCTGAAGCACTACATAACTTGTTTGAACGATTACAGTCCATTCAGTGTGTCTAAAGTCTCATCTTCAGAAGGACTAGCTTGTAACCCCGGTTTTGAGGAGAGAAAAAAAAAAAATATATATATATATATTTACACATATATGGAAAGTTAGGCAGGACGGTGCCTCAGTCAGTATTGCTGTTGCCTTAATGGTTGGGGGTTAGAATGTGCTGTTTGTAGAGTGTTAGCTCCTTATCTCGTGGGTTTTCTCCTGCGCTCCAAAGATATGCACTTAGATTAACTGACGCTTTTTAATTGTGTGCAGTATGAGCCCTGTGACTGGTGTCCCATCCAAGATTTAACCTATAGCCTTGTGCCTTATGCTGCCTGGGATCGGCTCCAGACCTTCCCATGACCAGGATAAGTGGTTAGCAGACTGATGGGTGCGTGGAAATGGGCATAAACATAGATCAGTCTGTTTCACACATTCCATACCTGTGCAGTGTCTTGTGCCGTATTAATGGTCGCTTTTAGATGTTCTAGAATAATGCAAACAACCTGCTCCTCCAAATAGTGAATCATGACAGGGTCGAGAGGTTCCGGTACTCCAGCGATGCACAGAAAGCATCCAGTCAGGTGGCAACGGAAATGACATTTCTGGGTCCAGTAACAAAAATGAGACGGGTTCGGCAGTGGAGTGTAGAATGGCTTCTCCGCACTGAGAAGACATCTACCCTTGAATTGGTTCTAGAAGCAAAAGTGGGTCGTACCCAGTACTCTCTAGGTGTATATAATAATGTAGCCACTGAGTGTAAGTTTTAAATCCATATTCCATAACCCGTTATCCAGTACAGGAAAGCTGCAGCGTATCTCAGTAAGCATAGGGCATCAGACAGGGGATACAAGTCACACAAATAGTTACATATTCAAGACAATTTGCAGGCACCGGTTCACCAAACTTCACCAAACATGCAGACGTCACACATAAGCCTGAGACACAATTATAATGCCCCACCTTGGAGGTGTAATGCTGCCATGCTAGCAACTAATGCAGTCAAAGTGACAGGAATTCCTTAATACAGATTGAAAATTAGGCATGGGATTACTGTGCATAGTCATCTACTGAGCATGGAGTGAGTATAGTTTCTTACCTCTATAATTGCAGTCATAGCCAAGGACACAAATGTTAGTACTGTTTTCCAGCTGCCCGTGTCAGGAAGATGTATTTTATTATGGGTTACAGTTCCTATCTGTGTTTATCTTGATCCAGAAAAGTACCATTCCTGCCAGCCACCAATTACAATTGGAAAATAAATCGTACAAAATCTTTAGTCAGGCTATTTGATGCATATACTGTCTAGGGATGACTGTCAATATGGAAGAGGCAGTAGTGAATAGGTATATCAAGTCTTGTAGCTACAGGGACAGCTGGAAACATAAGTGACGGTATACTTTATGCAGGTATCTTGCAAGATCTGCTTAGTGCTGCTTTGTGAACCGCAGTGTGGGAGAACTTGTAGCAAAACTTTCCTGAAAATCTGATCAGATTAGTGAAAGCTGCAAATATCTCAGCCATAACTCGTGTTTTTATGAATAAATCCCTCAGTCCATCCCCAGGGTTTACTGAGGGAGATATATTTCACAAAACCTGTGATCGTTTTTTTGAATATCTGGGGGAAAAAAAAACTAAATAAAGATAGATGCTTGTGGCTGTAATGATGATTCCTCTTTGGCTGATGGCTGATCTACAATTTCTTTGTCTACATAACACATATTTGGTTTTATTACCATGTAAAGGAATGAAAATGAATCTTTCCCACAGCAGCAATTATGTGAAACTCACTGTTTCAGACAAGTAAATGGGAATACCCGTGTTCACTATTAGCCCTCTGAGGATCAGGACTTTAGCATAGAGGAAGGGTTTGTGTGCCTTAACAATCCACATAGCTATGCTGTCTGGAAAAATCACCTCCTGCTTGGGTTTCTGTTGGAAAGCAGGCCTGTGAAGAGAGGCCAGACTAACTGCAATCCAACAAAAATCCCAGAAGAAAGGTACTATGACGAACCCATGTACCCTGCCAGCAAAAGGGTTACCAGGTCTTACTCCTGGAGTCCTGCCTGGGGGAGGTGTTTGCCAAGTAACCCAGCCTGCCTCAACTTAGAGTGTCTGCGTGGAGCCCTTATGTAGGCCCACCATCTGCGTGATGGAAAGGTGGGGCTCAAGTGCAGTGCCATTTGTGTGGCAGGTGCGTGGAGTAAGGACTTCTGCTTCTCCGGTGGGAAAGTAGGCTGAGTTATTGTTGGAAATGGTATTGGTTAGATATGTTCAGCCTTACCTCCATGCATAGTATGGGCTCCAAAGTCAGACCTCTTAACTGGGGATGGAGTCTCACCTATTCTGGAGTTCCCCATATTGGGTGGAAGTGGAAATGCTTACAAGTCCCAGGCTGAGGGTTTTATAATTCCAATTTATCCTGGTGGACCAGATGGTTGAGAGGAGAACTGAGTGAACTTTGTGTGTACCCAGCCTTCTTAGTGAAAGTGGCTGCGGTACTCGAAAGGGTACCAACTACAGGTCCTATAGGGAGACCCCAATTCTCATGTAGGACAACAATGGAGATACCTGAAGGGGTATAATTGGGTAGAATGGCGTCCTGGAAGTAAACCAGAATGGTCAACTGTTACTGGGCTTCTGGGCAAGTAATAGGTTGTCCATAAAATAATTAATGTTCAAAGACAGGGTTTGGCATAAATACACTTGATAGCACAGTATCCCAGGCCAGAGGTCAGTGAATTACTTAGTTGTGTCATCTGACTGGACATTGAAGTGAGGCAACATTGGTAGTCAGTTGGGAGAAGGCCAAATGGACCAGGATGACCCAGACGAGCAGCTGGTTGCTGGGAATATCTGACTGGATCTTCTGTGCGAGATGAATTCAACTCACGCCTCCTTTTCCGGAGTTCCCACATACTGAGTGAGGTCGGGGACATTAAGTCTGAATGGACTATGTTCAGGACATCAATTGTTGAACTGGATGCTTGAGTTGTGGCCAGTGAGGCAATCAGTGCTCGTATCCACTGGTAGGCATCTGTGATGAGGGAAACTGGCAGGCTGAAGACGGAGGGGGTTTCTTGAAAGAGCCAGGCACCGACAGGCCAGAAAGACTGCAGGGAAGTCGGCAACAGAGGCCAAAGCTTGTGCATGGGAAGAGTTTGGAGAGGTCATCGGGGAGATAATTTGGGTGACCACAAAGATGATTTGTCAAACTGTACGATTCCTCAGAATGGGAAGGCAGGGCCTTGCTCAGACTGTGTTCAGCCAAAATGGGGAAGTGCTGACCAACTCTTTAGGGTTGTGTGTGTCTCTGTGACATAGGTTGCTACTTCTGTGGTTGGAGAGTGACTGATTCAAATCACATGACTGGTCTCCATTGGGCCCTTGAACAAGGCCCTTTACTCCAATTAGTTCAGGGACTCACCGAGACTGCCTGAATGGGGACAGAAAGTCACTGGTTGAAATTCTTTGCTTCAACGAGTGATTTCAGTGCATATTTTGCAACCATTGTATGCTTAGCTCTAATTGCTTCAGGGACTGGTTGACCCTGTTTTCTTAATTGTGCATGATTTTAGATAAAAGAATATGCTAAATACATATAAATAAAATGTATTTTCATTCAAGAAAGAACACTTTGTTAACTCAGTGGATATGTCCTCTCACTAGGAGGCAGTAGTTCTGGTGGATTAGAGTCTGGTGGATAACGGCACCTGAAGTTGCTATAATGGTCTGAGTCCTTCATAGTGGAAAGGCTTAAGGAGTACATAAAATCTGTACAGAGATGCTGAAAGCAGTGAATGGTGACGTGGCTTTAGTGATGCATGGTAGGTGGGTGAAGTATCTCCGGACTACCGAGAAGAGGTGATATTCCATATTATTAAGAAGAGGAACATAGGAGAATCAAAATTCCCGCCACCAGTGAGTAACATGGGGAACACCAACCTCTATCTTCTGCTATTTGGCTCCAGTATGACTCAAGCAAGACTTGTGTCTATTCAATCGTTTTGAGCCAACATGCGTGGAGCAAGCATGTTGACTCTACTCCTGTTTGCGATTTTCATGGCTGGGATATCAAAGCACAGCTGATGGGGTGACATCTATGCTTTTTTCATATAGAGTTAAGCTTTTGGCTTCATCCAACCAGGACCTCCAGCACAGAGTGATCCTATGCCACATGTGAAGTGCAGAGATGGGCATCAGCGCCTCCAAATCCAAGGTTACAGTACCTCTGGATCCTCACCTATGGACATGAGCTGTGGGTAATGGTTGAAAGAACAAGGTCATGAGCACAAGAGACCGAAATGAGGTTTCTCTGCATGGTTGATTGACTCATTCTCTGTGATGGGTTAGGAGTTTGGCGATCCAGAGGGACTTTTAAATAGAGCTTCTGCTCCTTCAGATCAAAGAAAAGTCAGCTGAGATGGTTTGGGCATTTTATAAGGATGCCACCTGGTCAGCTCTTGGGCATCTCTACAGGACGGATGCTACCAGCTGGCATGGGAAGCTTGCAGGAGTTTTACTTACACAAGTACACAAGGATGCAGAACCAAGACATCTGATTAGTTGCTCCTGCCTCCTCTAGTTGCTTGGACTCACCTCCTCTATAATCTGATTGGTTATCTCTCTGAACCAATCATTTTTCATTCTGCTCTCAGAATTTTGTTTGTAGAAGTAAAACTCCCATACATGCTTGGGAACATCTGGGGATCCAACAGAATGAGCTAGAGTCTGTGGATGTGGGAAAAGGGATCTGATGTGACCTGTTTGGCATGTTGATATCATCCCTCACCAGGAGAAGTGGGACAAAAATTAGATGTTTGCAATGAAATGCTTAGCCACCGTGGTGGCTACACTCCACCAGTGTGTGTGGAGTTTGCATCTTCTTCCTGTGTTTGCACCATTTTCCTTCAGGTATATAGATTTCCTGCCACAATCCAAATGTATGTGGGTAGGCGAATTGGCTTCTCCCAATTGCTAGTAGTGTGTGTATGTATGCATGTGTGCCAGTAATGGACTGATATTACAAACAAGGTTTTCTCCTGTATTGTGCCCTATGCTAGCCAGGATAGGCTCTGTGCTGTGTGACCCAACACAGTGTAAGTGGTATGGAATATAGATGGCTGGACCACAAAGTTGCAATCTTTTAGAATTTCTTCTCCAGGGGCAAATTCATAATTTGCAGATGTCTGAGAAAATATATCACTTAAGAATAGGGCTTTCGTGTTAAATTCTGAGAATTTACAAAGAATGCTGTTCCAACAACCACCCAAGTAATAATCGCAGAAAATGTGACTCCAGGCACCACAAATTGACTTTACCATTTAATTGAAAAACATTTTCACTGTGCGCACAAAATTTATAAACAGATTATGGCACATATTCAGAGATTTGCGTACTTTATGGCACAAATGGACGTTAAACAGGTGAATGGCAGCACACGTAAACGGCTAAAGCCGACCGGAATCGCTCCGGTCGGTAGAAAAGCCCCGTGTCTCTTTAGCCGAGAACGCAATCAAGCATGAGAAGGGACGCGTCATGAACAAGAGGCCACACGCTGGGACCCGATCCTCCAGCAGATTCTAGTCTGAACCTCTGGTCTTCCTCCGCGCTGTAGCCGTCAGCCCTCGGTTCAACGAGGAACACGAGAGCTGCCCTTTATCCGGGTTCTGAGCTCACATGCCCATCCTGATACTCTGAATGATCTGAAAGATGGCTGTAGTGGAGTGAGGAAGCCAACATTACCAGCCTGATAATGAACGCCATGCATCAGAAGACAATGCGACCAGGATGATAATTCAATTTCCTCAATAAGACATTAATTTACACTGCTAATTCTGAAAAGGCTTACACTGATAATTGGATTAGTAGCACATTGCGCAGGGAAATTACAAAGATGATATAAAATGAAAAACTTGTGGCCTTTTTTCATTGTTAATGGTAATAATTAAGATTAAACACCAAAATAAAGAATAGAAAACCATCATGTGTGAACTTGACTCCATGTTTTAGATCAAGAAATGAACATGCCTAGTAGGTTTTCCTTGAGATAATGAAGTGCGTGCTTGTTACCTGATCCACAGACAACAAACACAAAGAGAGCCAGAAGCCATGGCCCTACTGGGTATTTCTCTTCCTGTGGTCTCTGTAAGACAAAAGCCCAACAATTAGTGAAGCTGATTCTTAGCTATAATTACTTGCATTTTTTTTTCTAAAGTGCCACTGAATTACAATCTACCAGTTTAATCCCCCATTAGATGCAGATGTTGAACTTCTAATCACTATGTAAACTAGCCTTAATACAGAATCCATTTTATTTGGAAAATAACCCTATATAACCATTTTATCTGGGAAAAAAATGATACATATTATCCTCTTCCATAGATTTTCAATACACTCCTGCAAGCATTTGCAGGCTAGACTGATATTCCAGATTTAATTTAAGTAGCCTACTGGCACATTGTCTTGCTTATTACCCCTAATATATGCAATGTGTAAGATATAATTACATATATTGCTAAAATGTCATTATCAGTACTGCTGACTCTCTGTTTTACCAGAATGATCTGTTATTAAATGAAACCACATCACGTGTCATAACCTTAACTATCAAGAGATCTGGTGAAGATTTTAGTTTTGCAAAAGCAAACGTCTAAAGATTTGCAAACCCCCCGCATGCCCTAGTTCTTGTCTGTAAGACACATTACGTCACTTACAGTTTAACTGGAGCTATTACAGGGTCCCAGTATATCGTCCCATGTACACCTATATATAACATTTAGACGTGGCACATTTCCTTAGATTCGTGCTTTGCCTCCATCGGAAGTAGAGTCACGTGTCCCTTCAGTTCTTGATAAATATGCTATTGATCGTATAACCATCACGGCACTCTCATCGGTTTTCACAATTACACAAATATTACCAAGGATCCAGTTTCCGGTGTTACGCAAAAAAGATGTAATTATTTAAGAGAAGGAAATTAGAGGGCAGTGATGTATATTTCTGTGTCGCCTTCGAGATTTTCGAGACACGGTTATCATTGGCTCTAAATCTGCATAGTGACACACTTAAAATCACATTTCTTGACAGTAACTCAAATGATTAGATACCGCACAATATATGCATGCAAATATTTACAAATATTAAACACATCGTTTCGATGTTTCCACGTCAGTGACTTAGTGACTTAAACACATCTAATGAAAAATTCGTTTAGAGAATATTTTAATATTGCTGCATATTATGGCAAACAAAGTAAACGAACAGAAGTAATGTTTCATTTATGATTTTCCTGTTTAATGGTGATCTGAGGCTATGTCAGCTCGTAAGGACAATGTGCGTGTTTGAATACCAGGCAGCATACATATTTCACTTATAGCTTATCGAATACTTTTGCAGACCCAATAATCTCCCCGAAAAGTGATATATTAAACCATCAGTATCCATGTTTGTTCAGGTGCAATGAAGACGACCGTGGAGATACGGGATGAGGGGAAGATCTTGAGGAGAAGCAGACGAAAGACGCAATGAATCGCCGCGATCCTTTAAAGGGATTATTGGCTATGAAGCGAAATTCATATTGAAAATGTTATATTCGACAGAAAACAGACTGATCGCTGACTTGTAATTTAACACAAGCGTGATCGTATTCCTTCCATTTTAGATCCGAACTAGACTTCATCCTGCGAGGAAAACCAATTTCTTACCAGTGTCTTTGCAACGTTGCCTCTCTGCGTGATGTTTTTGCTATGTTTCTCGTTTGCCATTCGGATCCTTTGCTTTGCTACCATCTTCCAAGGATATAAAGATATTAATATGTAGCCAGTTGTTTTATTATAAGGATGGCGATGATGCTGGAACCGCTACCCCTGAGCACCTGCTAGTCGATAGCGTAACATGTAATGGACGGAAGTACGCTTCCATAGCCTGGTGTCTGGAAGAGGCGCATTGGACGCCTTTATATTTTTCAAGAATGGGTTTTATTTCCCAGATATATTTCTTCGCAACCATTTGCGGTGGTAAAGTCTTGTCTGCATGTTCTATATATGCTATTCATTTATGAAAACAGGGCAGTAAGGATGAACACAGAACATTAATTACATGATATATATTCAGCGTTCGTCCTCCATTTGGGGTCTTTCCTTCATGTGCGATCTCCTTTTAAATCCACCACTGCATGCCAAAATGGCCAAAAAGCTCTATATCTGTTTTATCCGACCAATGCACCCGGTTCCTTGAATACAGCACCTGGTAATCTTTGCCTCCTGACCCATCCTGTTCACTGTATGTGGGGAAGGGAAAATACAATTATGTCACCCAGGATAGTTTTGCACTAAACTCTCAATTTATGATTCCTGAGGTCATGCAATTCATTTTTTTCTTTTTATTTGTAAGTGTTTTGTCTCTTTCCGTGCTGATGAATGAAAAGATTCACGTGTGTTACCGCACTTACACACCCCAGTCCAAAATTTAGTTTGATTTGATTTGTAAGAATCTGTCACTGTCAATAATTTTGAGGGCAATGTTTCAAATTTGAAATCTCCCATTACTCAAGTTTATATCAAATATAGTTTGTTTTCAGGCAATAATACTGCTCATTAGCTACTTTGATATATTTCTAAAATATTGTTGGCCGTATTTATCAGAGATGTCATAATTGTTCTAATTAATTGTATATACTGTATTTAGCTACATAAAGTTTATTGCTGACATTATTTCAGTTTTTTTGCAGGGGCATTAAGGGCGACTGTATGCAGAGATTTAATTAAAAATTATAGGTAACAAAGCGACAGAAAAAAAATAAAAATAACAATACAATAACAAGTACATATTCTCCAGTCTTCTTGAAATAAAATATCAAATATATTGGACTAAATAGTGGGGTGACTATTTTGAAGTATGACACTGTTCTTGAGAGAGTGGACTGGGGGTTTGTGTTTGTGTCCGGAAAGTCATCAGTTTGAATCCTGTGGTCAGGAGGATGGTCATATTACTGATGGGTCCTTCAGTAAGGCCCCCAGCAAGGCTGCTGGGAAAATGGATGGCTGCACACTATGGGAGGGGCCCTCGCACCATGGGAGGGGCCCTCGCACGCGCACACATGTGTGTGTGTGTCTCTCTCTCACAGAAGAGCAAGAAGAGGCATGTGAAAAGTATTGAATTCCTATGTACTAGTGCTTCGCCAAACCAGACCAATCCCATGATCCAATGCAGCCCAAATTTGTTTTGGGAAGACAAGTTCACAAGACCGGTCTTACTGAGACCATAAGTATGGTCTTTGTGTTCTTGGTAAGACCAGGGGAGCCGCTAGAGAGTTCTGGCCCCATGTCATACTGGGGCCCCTAATCCTGACCAATCTAATTATGTGTTTTAGGGGCCCTGTCACTCAGGGGCCCACGGAATAGTCCTGCATTTCCTTCCCTTTATAGCACACCTGGATATCACTGCTACTTGCACCCATTTTCTGTGACCACTAATGCAGTTTGGGGTGCACCTGCCTGTTCTAAGGAACGTGGGGCTACCTGTAATGGATCCCAGTTCATCCAGGCGGACTCACTTGCAAGCTGTGGTCAAATTAGACACCACTGCCCACAACCCTGGAGATGCGAGGCTTCTGTCCCTCCACAAATGCTGCTTAATATCTGTTGCAGTGGTTGAGAACAGAAAAGCATTTTCTAATCAAATATTGATTTAGGAAATATTCATATTACATATGATTTTTTGCATTCAATTGGTATTGAATTTCGCATAATGCTAGCTTGTAGATTATTAGATTTAAAAAAATCAATTTCTAGACAAATAAGCAGGTTCCTCAGAATACTTTTTCCATTGCTAGCATTTATAATTTTATTTGGTTTTATTCATTTAATCTAAAATTGCTTAAATCAAATTCAAAAAGGCACCAACAATAATTAGTTTTTGAGGGACTAAATCTGCATGAAATTACTCATGTCTTTATATAAGATTAGTGCATGAAATACTGGCATTGAAAAAACAATGTTTCAACAAGCTATAGTACTGTAGCTTTCCATAGTCGGTCGCTTAGCAACAACATGCCCAGGACCATGATCAAGGTTTTGCAAAAGAGAGAGGCTCCTACATGCAATGGATTATGGGTTGCACATTATGTTGATTACATTTAGATAAAAATGTTTAAAATAGTCACATGATTATGATGTATGATTATAGTGGCAACAAGTGACTTATGTAAGCATGTGCTGCTTCAGACATTGCAAAAATACAGTGATGATATGTTGATGGATTGTAAAACTAGAATATCTTAGAAATCAAATAATAAAATAAGTTACAGATGTAAAGCTAAACCCAAAGTTGATTGCATCAAATCCTAGAACTGGCCCTTTTGTAGTTCCATTGAGCACAAAAATATCCAGCTATGTAAATTGACTACAGGAATTTGTTTTCCAGTATAACCATACGCTGGGAAACTTATTATAAATGCCCTTGTTTTATCACTTAAGAGCAACTGCATTTGTCCAGTCTGCATTATGCAAAAATGCAAAAAAGGGGAACAAATCGAAGGGAGAAAGTCCTGACTACACAGCCATTGTGTTTGTGGTACATTGCCAACTCCGCAGTGTCACTCTGGCTAATACATCATGTGAATTGTTTTGCCACTTCAAATAAACATAACTCTCTTTGTTTCTGCAAGATAAACAAAATGTAAACTAAACTCTACATGCTCATGGAAAATCTTGCAATTAATAATCCTTATCGTAATATCAGCATGCATTAATCGTATTGCTTTATTGGCGTTGCAGCTTTTCTGAAACAATTACGAGTTTGTGGTGCAGATTAAAAGCAATTGAACGGCAGAAGATATCAAATAGTGTCTATAAACGGCATATTTTTGAAGGAAAAGCGCACTGCTGTCATAGGGTGCCCTTGAACTGCGAGGATAATGGACTCAGTGTCTAGTGTGATGACGCCCATTGTCAATGTCCTCTTGCCTCTGGATTTATGACTGCCAAAAAGACGTTTGCTTTCTTCCAGAAAATTCTGGAATCTCAAAGTTTTTGCTTTGCTTTTCACTGGCATTTTCCTTCTGTTGACATGCTAATGAAATTACTGTACCATTAAGTTAACAAGTTAACATGCAAAGAGAGAGCTGGTTTCGCATCTTAGCTGGTAATTGTGCCGACTGGACAATAGATGGATTCAGCGCATAACACTGTCTGTTTTTCTCTAAGGTACTTATTAAATGTACTTTCATTTGACTTGGTGTTTGGCTGTGGTGAATGCTGTACAATATATTCATCTAGTTCATGCTGCTTTAATAATACTGCTGACTACAGCAGAAGGTCAGCCGCACTTCTATACTTTTTTGGGTTTTACCCTTCCGAGAAAATATGCGAAAGATATGCAAAACATGTAAAAAATGCAAAAATTTAAAACCGAAGAAGCTTTAGCACTTGGTGCTAAAGAGGATGTCCCATCGTCATTAAGCTGTACTGATTTTAAAGGCTGAATGTCATGGCGCCAAGTTCTTAGTTTTGAAACTTCTAACTCGCTCGCTGAGACGCCGGTGTCCAGTGTGAAATCCGACCGCAGTTTGGACGCTCTGGCCCACATTCCCCATGTGCTTCCGGCCTTTTCACAGGGTGGCCGTTTGTTTCACTACCCTCCAGTGTCAGGACAGCAGCTCTGCCCCTGACATAAACCCCAGCAGGACTGAACCACACGTCTCAACCCTCTCCCTCGCCTTCTGTCCCCACTCACACATGTCTCACGGCAAATGCCCCATGCAACCAGAACACACAGAAACCCTCCCTGTCACATGCGCATGTCGCAAATCAGCACTTACAAAGGACGCAAACACATACTCAACCATGAAATTACCCCTTCAGGAGTAATTGTCAATGTATGAGATTCCCAAGCAAGTAATTGAATTGCGGAGCATCAGTTTATTGACTGTGAAATCTTTTCAATTAGATTTCTGCAAGGTTACCCCTTGTCAGCTAGGCTATATCTCAGCTGCCACCCCCCCACCCCCCCCACCGCTGACTTGAGAGTGGGTTTCTAAAGTGCATGATGCTGTAAACACAATCTCTTTGCAGAACACCTTTACTAACTGACGTGTTGGTATATTCAACTAAATATGACACTTGCAGTTTATAAGATTACACAGGGGGTTAGGCAAAATCACGATCTATCGCAGAAGGCAGCTGCAGGCTTAATTCCTAATTGTTTTTATCAGCATAATGTTTTGATATCTCTGAAGTCAGTAGACCAGCTGCTTACAGTCGCTCTCTTTTTCAAGGAGCACCAGTTCCATCCCCTTGGGATCATATAACACGCCTGTCATCTCTGATCTGGTCTGGTTGGGCTGTCAGGCATGTACAGACATTGTAGGGGTGGGATGGTGATTCAACCTGAATATTGACCTCTGAGTATTTTTTTGTTCTCCTTTTTATTTTCTATTTCGCTTTTGCACCAGATCCTTACAAATGATAGTGATGATGCACAGCTTGCTATGCTAAGGTCAAATGGCATCGTGATATGGTGCTAAGAGGATGCAGGCTAAGGGGGGATCCTGACGGCTTGGCACAATGACTCACAGGCTGCACTGCCATGTCCCTGTAAACACGGCAACAAACCCTGTAAACACGGCAACAATAGCAAGTGAGGAATGGGATCAGCAACAGGATCACACTCATCCTCCTGCACGTATCGGCAGAGCCAAAACCAGACTCTGGAGTCTTGCAGGGGTCCTTCTGCGAAAATCCAGGACTGCATTGTGTCTCTGTTTGTCTCACAAGAATACCCCTCCACATCCCCCAAAAAAACTATGAGAAGACTGCAGGGTCTCCCCTTTGCACACCAAGTATTACTGGGACAGTAGTCTAAAGCCCAATTTAGACTGGTCTAGATTTACCCAGAGATGTGGTTTATAAAGTGATTTAACTGTCTGATTCAAATGGCATAAGACACGTGTGTAATTATCCCAAATGACCAGAGATAGCGGAGATTAAACTAATCCTGTCCGGACATTAACATCAGAGTTAGTATGTCTGAAACGCAAATGACAACTGAATTTCCTTTTTTTTTGGGTGACCTATCCTTTTAACATACTAATTAAACACAAAAACTGAACGTTTTTTTTTTCCTCTCCCAACCGTACAGTACCTTACGAGTCTGTGTTCAGTAGAGTACTGCTCTGCACCTACTTAAAACCTTGACGCAGTACAGACCGTAGGTGTAGCTTGCTAGACGTCTATGCGGAAAACTCAGTATCCATTCAAGCTCCACTTTTAGTGGAT